AACCACTGCAGAAATGTTGATGATTTTTCTTATCAGATCTTTTAAAAAATTTCTACAAAGGAAAGAATAATTCTTTAACAAACTCAAAGAACTGAGAATGTAGTAGTATCAGGGAGTAAGGTCCAAGACAAAAAATAACGATCAGGGATCATTAACTTCAAGGTCCTTCTACATGAGCAACTGCCAAATCTGGCCTTGGATATTTTGCTTAGTCCCATATGGTGTCATGATGGTTGTTGAATTTGCATTAAATGTCATCTTGTTACCAGACAGGGGCCTGGCCCTGAGTGGGTCTGCCTAGGGCCAGCTGTAGAGTGTGGCTTTTTGACTTTGAGTAGTAACGATTTTATAACACAAGTCCAGGTGACTATGAGGATACATTTATTAAAGCTGGGGACAGTGAAACAAGGAAGGGCTTAGCATAGAAGAAGCAACAGGAGAGCCAAGGCTGCCTTAGCTCACCGGGAAGTCAGAGAATAAAAGGCCTTGGGGACATGTTCAGGGGGTTAGCCTGGGAGAAGCTGCCAGCTACCCATTTCCTTAGAATTTAGGAGATGAGTGCCTGTGGGGGAAAATGGTGAGGGAAGAAGGAAAAGGGAATGGCCAGAGCTACTCCCTAGAGGGAGAGCTGTGATCTGGGTCCTTTGACTTGACCGAGGCTTTTATCTCTTCTGCAGGTGGGAAACTTAAGTGAGGTCTCAGGAGAGGGTTTCAGTAAAATATTCACCAGTTCTCCAGGTGTGCCCTTTAAGGGTCATGGTCTCCACTGACTGGTCAGTGACAGAGGTTCTTTAATCACTACAATTTGTCCTGGCCTTGCCCACCTGGTTTTGCTACTTTTCCGGGCCTAGAGCTGAAATACAACTGAGGTCTAGATGTTATCTCCAGGCAGGAAAGGCCAGGGGAGAAAAGTTACCCTGTGAGTGAGGTCCTTCTTTTCCCAGTTTTGCTCCCTGCCAGCCACTCAGGGCTTTCTGCCCTAGTGACCATCTACACCTGGCTGTAAATTGCTCTGCCACTCTCTCTGTTTCCCTCCTCCACTTGCCAAGGAATTTTCCCAGGTTCTCACTTTCCTGTCTCAATCTGATTTTCATTAAAATCCAAATTGGAGGCTTTTCTCAAAATTTCCAAAATTGGGGCACACAGGGCCCATATTCTCACATGCCCTTTTAGTGAGATAGGAAGTTCCCATCAGGTCCTCCCTTCCCCCACGAGCCCTCCCCTGGCCTAAGTCACTCATTGATTTCACTAGCCTGGCCCCCTCAGGCATTTTCGACCTTGGCTTATCTAAAGACTACTTATCTGAGAAAGCATTCTGGATCTCCAAGGAGTACTTCATTCCTGGAAGGAGCTGACACTCACTGAGACATTCCCTTCCAGAGGTTCACCTTAGATAATAAAGTCTCCTAGTGAGTCACTTGAAATCCTTGTCTCATTGATATTTCTACCTCATCACTAGCCATTCCGCAGGTTCCTTATCCTGGTGTACACCTTCTTCAATTCGGGGTATCGCCTCCCCATATCACCACCATGTCTTGTTGATTATCTGCATGAAGCATTTACCAAAGCAAAATACCTTTCTTTTTAGCAGAACTACAAAATACATGACATGACGTCTACTGTTAGCCTGACCAGCATGCCTCCTCCCCTTCCGCTGGTAACAGCACCCTAGTTTTCCTTGGGGAACCAGTGCTTCCCAATTCTCACACTCCATTCCCATTTCCAAGGAAAGGCATGAGACCCAGCCAGAAACACTCAGTGTCAGTCCTAGGACTTCTGGCCACAAGGACTAGGAGGAAAGTACTCTGTCCACCTGGGACTTGAACTGAGGATGACAAAAGACTAGTGGTCTCCTTGTGGACACAGCCTGTATTGAGACAGGACCCCCATGATCCAGCCCAGCAGACAGCTGTACTACTTTTGGACTCTTTGGTCACATATGAGCCAATTAATTCCCATCCTTGCTTAAGGACATTTGAATTGGGTTGTCTTAAAACCAAAGGAGACTCACGTAATCAATACGAGGTATTTGAAAAAAGTACTTGAAAATTTAAAAATGGAAAAAAAGGCTTTGTTCAAATTTCCCCCCGTTTTTTGTTACTTCCCCTCTATCCAATAAGAGCTGAGTTTTGCTCTGGGAAGTAGCCTTGCCTCTGTAAGCTCTTATCTCAAGGTATGTAATTTTTTTGCTTGACTATCTCTTCAACAAATCTATTGAGCTCCCTCCCTAAGGGCAGAAACTGTAGTTTTCACTCTCGATTCTTTAATACTTGCACAATAGCACACAGTTTGGGCTCAACAAGTGTCTACTGAATGGATGGATCAACAAAAGATAGGTGAACAAAAGGAACCATCCAAATTCTCTTCTTGGGGACATCCCTTTCATGAGACCACCCTCAGAGGCCTTGCCCCTGTGATACACAAACCATCTTTTAAAACAGACTCATCCACCCATTGTAAACAAGTTGCATCATGAGAACTCACTCCTTCCAGCCATTACTAATTCTCCCACATGTCCATCCCATGTAAATTCATTGCAGTGTTACTCACAAGGTCCTAATTCTGGGAAGAGAATACTTCACTTCCAGACCCAACCTAGAACTCTATGAATTGATAACGCACACAGTGGGCACGCCAGTCACACCTGTAACTTCACTCATGGGGATGAGGGGAAACTCCTTTGCTTCCTGACCTCCTTCTTCACCTGAATATACCCAGAATCCTGACTCTGATGGCCACCCACCATCTGTTTCCACACAATAACAACTCTAGGCTCTCCCCCTCCTTCAATTTTTCCCTCCCTAATCCTTTATAATAGTTATATAAGTGGGAAAAAAATACAAATATATCTAGGAAATCAACAGCAGTAAAGCAACATGTTCTCCCGTAAAAAGTTTTGACTTTGGGTGCATAATCGCCACACCCTTAATTGCTCTGTAATAGCTGCAGCTTCCACTGGCATCTAGCAATTAAGATTTTCAAATAGTCAAAGGTCAGGGCCAGAATTACAGTCCTCGTATGAATCACCATTGACACTATCCAGTTTTCATTTTCCCATACTTGGGCCCACACCACCATGGCAATCTAGTAAAAACCAAACTTAAAATAGATGAACAATTTTGTTGAGTATCTACTGTGTAATAGGAAGCGCAGCCAACCCTGGAATCAAAGTAGAAGGACATAGCAAGGCCTCTCAAGGTGTTTAGTCTAATGGAGAACACGGACAAGTAATGAGGCAATTTACATTACAGAAAAGCAGGTGCTACATGAAGTTATGAAAGCACCCAGGACTAGCCAGTCTATGTTGGAGCATCAAGGAAGGCTGGTCAGGAGCAGAGACCTTTACTGGGAGACGTAAAAACTGAATAGGAGCGAATAGGAGGCAGCAGCTATATGGCAGGTATGTTGAAAAGGCTTCCGAAGAAAGTTCCAGGTAGAGGCTAATGAGTGAGAAAGCAAGGCCTCCTCTAGAAACTGTAAGTAGTCAAGTATGGCTGGAATTTACAAGTGTGAAGAGAGAAGCTGCCACAGAGGAAGCAGGGTGCCAAAGAGACCCTGAATGGCTTTGCAGCGTTAAAAAGCCTCAGAACTTTATTGAATAGCAAACATCGCTTGCCTTGTACAGTATACCAAAAGGCCAAGATGACAATCTGAATAAGTTTATCTTGACCTTCACTATATATCAATTTTACAATGCATGTTACTGAAAACACTAGCGGTAGAAAAACCTTATAATTTGTTTACAGATTCTTGGTTGAAGCAGCCCTCACTTTGTCTTTGTCACTTTGTCTACTTTCCTCTACTATCTATCACTTTCCTGCAAACAACAGGAAAGCAGGCACATCAAGGAGACAGGGATTAATTTTGGAAATAGGAAAAATATACACCAAGATAACAGGGTGGAGTACCAAAAAAATTAAGCAACAAAACTAAGCAGAAAATTGAGGGAAATGAAACAGTGAAAAGCAAATTTGGAAAATTCAAGAGGAAGTAAAAGTATTTTCATACACACAAAAGAAAGAAGTGTCCCATGTGTTTTGGCCAAACTGGTGTCCCCCCACCCCCTTTTTACTTAGCTGTTGGGGGGAAAAAGTGAATACTGTGACAAATTCACACTTTCATATCTCATCGCAGAATAAATAGTAAATAGGGGCAGTACAGCAACTGTCCTGAAAGACCTGGAAATAGTTGCCCAGAAAATGCCGCACATGACAATCACCTGGAGAAGCTCCACAAACCACAAACCATCCTGTCCCATTTACCTGCTCATCTACAAAGTCTGGCCTATTCTGTCATTTCAGAATAACTGTAATCACTATGTATGGTGTCTGGCGTGGAATCACCTCGTAAGGTTTATAAGTGTCTAACCACTATCATGTACACCTGAAACTAATATAAATTACATGTAAATTGTAATTAAAAAATAAAAAATAAATGCATAAATTTTGTAACGCTTTCTTTTTGCCAAAAGATTAGACTTTTTAAAGAATCAATGCCTGGCATTAAAGCAGAACCAAAGAAGACACATGGAGAAGTATCTGCTTTCAAATCCAAAGTGAAAGAGTTTAAAACTTTTTTTTTTAAATTGGGGAAAGGCTTTTCCATAGCCTTTTCTCCGCGTTCCCACCGTGTTAATGTCAGAAAGGTACGGCCGGGCTCTGGTGCCCGTTCGCCTGGGTTTGGAGACAGCAACACCCTGAGCCCCCCAAAGGGCGTAGTGAAGCTCGCTTTGCGAATGGGACGGGCGTCAGTGACCCTGTCGCTACCGAGGGCCACCGCGCACTGCAGTGAAGGTCTGTCCCGCTGGGACCGCGACCCAGGGGGGCGGCCCGCCGGCCGGGCCTCAGGGGAGGACAGAGAAGGGTCCGGCCCAGACCCCGGGGCTGAGACCCGGCAGGGCCCAGGAGGGAGGGGCGGCCCGGCCCCGGGGGCTGCCGGCCGGCCGGCCAGCCCGCCCGCCCGCACCGCCCACCCCGCTGACCACCGCCCCGAGCACTCGCCTGCCCACGGTCTGGTTGGCCAGCTGCTTCATGCGGTTAAACTGCTTCTTCATGGCGGCGGCAGGGCCCGGGCTCTGCCGGCGGGACACGGGGAGACGGGTTGCGGCTCCTACATCGCTTCCCGGCCGGGCGGCGGCGGCGGCTCCTGCCTGGGCCCGCCCCCGCGCGTCACTTCCAGCGGCGCCACCCGCCGGCCGAGGGGCAGGAGCGCGGGGCAGCCAGGCCTGCGCCGCCGCCGACTCCTTCCGCCCCGCCCGCCTCGCCGGGAAGCCCGCCGCTCCGGGCGGGCCCTGCACCCAAGAGACTGTTCCGTCCGTCGTGCGTCCAGCCGTCGTCCATAGATAGGGCTGTTTTGTGAGGGTTTTTTTTTTTGCAGTTTTTCTTTTCTTTTACGCACCACAGTTTTGTCATAAAATTTTGTTTTACCTTTTTTGTACCAATGTAACAAAAAGGAGGGAGGTAAGGGGAGACAGTGTATTTTCTGCCTATGAATGTGTGATGGGAGGGACAGTGTGCTGCGGAAAACAAAACGTGACCTTTATGGAACAGAGTTTTGATAGTAAAACGTGGTCTGAAGCAGGTGTTTGGAACCTAGAAGGTTGTTTAGCGGTGTTATTCTCAAGGAGAGATGGCTCTGTGCAGGTCGGTGACACAAGCTGTTGTGTAACCTGTCCGAGAGGGAAAGAACAAGGAAGGGGACAGAAAGCAAGTTTTCTAAGAAAGGAATCTAATGAGTGCATGGCAAGTCCGGTTAGTGTGCAGCAGAAATTCAACATTGCTACTTTCTCTTCAACACCTCCACCAAGTTGTCCTTAAGAGCTTCTTGTTTTGATTTGCTTGCAAAAGCCTCTAAAGACCTCAGCCCTTGAGGATGTCCTTTGTTTTTCCAAAGTAGATCTCATTCTGCGTACTTCTAATTTTGTTTTCCATGTCCTCACCCAGGCCCCCGATACTGGCTTTGTGTGGCCAGCTGCTGCTCACAGTTTTCATCATTCTCCATCTGACTGGTAAGGCTGCCTCAGAAGTTCATGGTGCCAGAGCCAGATTTGTTGGTTTGGGGCCACAGCATCACTGTGGGCATTTGTCCTGCACTTCCACCATATGGATGGAATCCCAGCAGCCTTTGATCTTTGATCTGTCTCCAGCCTTCTTTATGAGGATCACTCCAGCAAAGCCATGATGCCGATCCCAGAGGTAGACAGATGAGGCCCCACCTTCAAAATACTGGTCTTGATACTGGTCAGAGGAATTGTTGGCTGCCATCCCCAGCTTTCTGAGCCAAGCAGAAGGCATGACCCCATCTTCCAAGGGAGGGTCATGCTTGTCACTCCATGGTAACCTATAGAAGTGCTCATCTCTGTTTTAGTCACACAAGAGGTAATCATTTCCCACCAACCGACTCTAGCAATTTTCAGTAACTACTCAACAGAAGACAGGAGGTCTTCACATTGACTGGGGACCAGGTCCATCAGGTCTCTGAGGTTTTCCTCGATTTGCTGTAGAGGTAGGCGCCTCATTAAGTTCAAGGTGCTGGTGACTCACAGTGATGGTGCCAGCATCTGTGGCTATCCACCCAGCAGCAGGGTCCAGAGCTTCCACTTTTCCTGGTACACAAGAATAAACATCTGGGTCAGTGCCCCCCTACTTCCAAGCCATGGCCATGGAGGGTTTTCATTAAATGTACTGCCAGCGACACTGGTTAATAACATGTAGGTTTCAGGTAGACATTGTAACATGGTGTCCATGTGCTCAGTTGAGCACTCACCACCCAAATCCACTTTCCTTCAGTCATCTTATATTTGACGCCCTCACCCAGTTACTCCCTGAGCGAATCTGAAACAGGTTGGCGACAGGCAATACCACCATGGCTCCCCTCCCCCCTTCTCTTAAACTCAGATGATTCTTGACTGACTGACCCCTTTGGTGGATGTGGGGGCTGTGGGTGAGGAACTGTTCATCATCCTCCTAAGGTCACATGGGTGCATAGGCTGACACTTGTCCAAATGCACCCACTGATGCTCTTAAGATGAATGCATATATCTCAGACAATTTTCCCCCACATTTTTGTAAAAAATGGTGGCACAGATATCTCAAGCTTCAGGACAGCATGCACTGTGTGACAAGAAAGTCAAAGGCAATATGTGTTTTCTATTAGCCCACGCCCAGGCATGGTGCTGGAGGTAGGGCCCCCTCAGCAGCTGTCCTGGTAGTGGCTTGGAGGTGGCAGGGGCAGGGCAGTGCAGAGACAGTCACAGAGAGGGGACAGCAGAGGCTCACAGGTCATACCACTAGACAAGAGCCCTGTTTTGGGCCTGGGCCAGGCCTCGGGGTTCCCAGGACCCCCACTCACTGGGCAAAACTGTTGCCTAGCAAGATTTCATTGTAATTTAGTCCTTTTGGCACTAGTTCCAAGGGGTGGGTGGTTGTCCCACATGGGGCTGGCTGCTTTTGTCAAGTGAACCAGGTCAGTTCTGTGACCCACAACAATGACCTCCTGGTTTGATGGCCTTGGCTCTGGCTTAGATCACTCCCTAGAGTTGGGTGTCAGCGTAGCCTCCTTCAATGGCCACATCTCTAACTTCACAAAAGATGCACTGATGAAGGAAACTTAAAAGGGGGAAGAGTCACCTGCCTCTAAGAGAAAGGATGTTGTAGCCATTCAGATAATTTTAAGATCAGAGAATGGAAGACATAAAACTCTTTGTAGTGATTTAGAACAGAAGTATGAGACATCAGAGCTTTAAATAAAAGAGCCAAATGCTGATTACTGGCACCAGCTACAGAAGAAAGATGTAGAAACCAAATTCTGAAAGGAAGACAAATCATGCTAAAGGATCAGTTGCAGAAGCTGCAGTCAGCTACTTAGTAAATTCTGGAGCTTCCCTTGTACCATCGACCCCTGCATCACCTTCATTGGTTTATGACATTAACAATCATGCTTCAGCTTGCAGGGGAGATGACATGGACTCTGCTGACCTGATTTCATCACAAGAAAAAAACAGGTTGTCCAATCAAGTTTTAAGACTTGAGGATGAAGTTAGCCATGGGAGGCATTTTGTTCAGACTTATGCAGCAGGAGGAACAAGCAGCTCTGACCACAATGAAATCTGCAAACTGCGAAATACCATCTAGGAACTTCAACAGAGTCAAAATAAGGAAACTGATGACCGTCAATTTGAAGTGGCAGTACTGCAGAATGTTCAAACAGAAACTGGCAGGAATAAGTCTAGGCATCAGGAAAAAAATAAGTGACTATGAAGAAAGGATTGAAGAAGTGGAAAATCTGTTTTAGGAGTGTGGCTCCAGAATGTAAGCAACTGATGGTTGCAAAAACTATTTAAGTTCTACAGGCTGAAAAAGAAGAGTCTACCAAGAAGATCAAAGAACTTAAGGGTATAATTATGTACATCAATAAAAAATTATCTTCTGCAGAAAGCGAGAGGGATGTTTTAAGGAGAGAGCCAGACCAGAGAAGTGAGCATATTTTTAATGAAAAACTTAAAAGAAGTTTAGGGATCCAGGAGGAATATGCTCAAGCATTAAGGAAAATAAAAATTTCAGCTAACCACAGAGGAAAAAGACACAAGTCTTGCAGCCATGAAAGAAGAGTCATCTCAAAGAAGAACTGCAGCAAGTGGGAGAGCAACAGAGTCCAACTGCACCTATGGGGTATCCTAAGACACCAGACACTATTACTAAGCACTACTACTCAACTGAATGTAATAAAAGGTAGCCTTGAGGAGGAAATAAAACATCATCAAAAGATAATTGAAATTCAGCCCTGATAGGTGTGGGTCAGTGGGTTGGGTGTCATCCCACAAACCGAAAGTTTGCTGGTTTGATTCCCAGTCAGGACACATGCCTGGGTTGTGGGCCAGGTTCCCAGTTGGTGGTGTGCAAGAGACAACCAATTGATGTTTCTCTCGCACATGGATGTTTCCCTCTCTTTTTCCGTCCCTTCCACTCTCTCAAAAATAAATAATATCTTAAAAAAATATAATTGAAATTCAAAAGCAGAGTAAGCAAGTAAGCAGCAACTACCTCAATCTTTACAAATGCAGAAACAGGAAATGGATGATCTTCAACACCAGCATGAGCAAATGAATATTAAAGACACTTGGCTCATTTCTGGGAGAGATGAGGAAATTAAGAATATGCAAAACGCAATAGAACAAATCAAAATCCAGTTGTTGGGGGAAAACAATAACAACAGCACATTCAAGCAGAACATCCTAATCATTTTCAAGTAAAAGTTTGGAGTCTTCATACAGAAAAGAAAGTAGTGAAAAGCATGAGTTAATCTCAAACCCAAACTGAGAGATTACTGACAAATAACAAGAATTGGAGATTAAACTTCTAACTTAATATCTCTTTGATTGATCAGCTGTCCAAAGATGAGATTGGTAAGATAACTTAGATTTTACAGCAAAGAGATTTAGAGATACTAAGTCGTCACACTGGAATATATTTAGCTTCCCACATCCAGCAGCAATTGAAAGTGTATGGTTTAGAAAGCAAATACGTATTGGTTGTTTTAAACAAGACTATGGAAAATAGCAATCTAAAAAGAGTATCCCAAAATGGTGGATACCATTGATGCTAACGATAAAACTGCAAGATGAAAATTAAAAAACTGTTTCCTAGATTTGAAAGTACTGGTCAGGATATGTTTAGATAAACCATTAATAATTTATCACGTATCATTCAAGAAAAAGACTGAGATTGATGCATTAGGGCAGAATGTCAGACTTTATTGACAATTCTGCAAACGTTCAGCAATGGAAATGAAGTTAGAGACATTAATATGAATCAGCTTCAGGATCATCTGCAAGAGCATGATACATTTAAACAACAAGATCATGGAAGAGTGGAAAAAGCAGGTGATGATCACTGTACCAAATGCACAGAGCGAGGCAGCTGAACTTCAGAAACAACTTCAGATCCAGGTTTTCATTGACAGTGATAACAATTCTAAACTACAGGTGACTTTATTCAAAATTCTAAAGGGAATGGAATCAAGATAAAAAATGTGGAGAAGGACTTAGCGCAAATTCAGCTCACTGTAGGGCAGATTTGTAATGCCAAAGGATGCTCTTTTAGGTGATCTTGACCTTTTTCACTCAAAGCCTCCACCGAGTTATTTACATCAGAGTCTGAAGACTCT